GGGGGGGGGGGGAGCAAAGAGATGGAGGCAGGGAACGGACTGTACCATCTACTGGGGAGAGTCAGAGCTCTGACCCAGAAGTGAAGAGGGCAACAAGGGTGGCTCGGCATCCATTCCGCTCCTAGGTCCCCTTGCACACGTGGCCCGAGTCCAGCCCCCTCCCCACCCGTTTCAAGCCCCACCCCTTTCTTTGCCGCAAGGTGCTGAGCCCATCGCTCCTCTGCCCAAAAACGGATCCGATTCCTCTCCCCTCCCTCATCTTCATGTTGACCGCCTGCGGGTGCCAGCTGCTCCCAGTCGCAGCCCGCCGTGCTCCTGGGTCAGACGTTTGGGGGGGAAGGGAAGCGGTGGCGGAGGTCACTGCGGGGAACCCAGATCCGCAGAAAGCCCCTCGAAAGCAGCCAACATGGCTTGGCGCACTCGATCCGTCAGAGCCGGCACGTCGTCGGCTCTCAGCCCCTTCGTGGGCACGGAGGACAAGACCTGGACAATGCAGCGCCCTGCGTACGGAGAGAAAGAGGCAGCTTTTGAAAAGAAAAAAAAAAATAGCAAGACAACGAAAAGGCCCCCTCAAAGGCTTCAGCAACTCTGGAAAGAGGCATATGCAGTCCAGGGAATGGGGAACGATTGGCCCCCTTATGACGTGTGGACTTCAATTCCCAGAATTCCTGAGCCAGCCATGCTGGCGGTTAAAGTTCACAAGTCATAAAGGAACCATCATCCCCCACCTCTTCGTGTAGTCCTTGACTTACAACCATCCATTCGGGGTTACAACAGCACTGGAAAAAAAAAGCGACGTTATGACCACTGCCTGCATCCTCATGGCCCCGTGATCAAAATTTGGACAGTTAGCACAACCGACTCATATTTATGACGGCCGCGGTGTCCTGGAGTCACATGATCCCCTTTGACAGCCTTCTGAGAAACAGAGTCAATGAGGAAGCCAGATTCGCCTCACAACCGTGTTACTAACCTAACAGCTGCAGTCGTTCACTTAACAACTGTGGCAGAAAGGTTGTAGAATGGGGCAACGTTCACTTAACAACGGTCTCGCTTAGCAACAAGAAATTCTGGGCTCAGTTGTGGTTGTAAATCGAGGGCCACCGACCTCTTTTTGAGGCTGTGCATCTCTTTTGACAGACTGGATTGTTAACTGCTGTTTCCATATTGGTTTTTTTTTAAACTCGTCGCGTTTGGATTGTTTTTTATACATTTTCCTGGAATCTTTGAGAAGCAGCTAGATTAGAAAGGTCACATAAAATCCAAACAAATCTTTATATTTTAAAAACTTAACCGAGTTGCCTTCTCTTTCTTGAGCAATTTTGAGCTGTAAGTCAAGGACTCCCTATATAGTCGCCTCCATTACGCTTGTGGAATAGAAATGCAAATGTAAAGAAGGGACCTTTCACCAGTTATGATGGACATGGGATAAAGCACAGAAATATTGGAGCAGGATTCACATTCTAATACAGAAAATTCTTAAAGTGAATGCAAAGATAAAACCAGAAACTTTTCTTTTAGGTTTAATTGGAAAAGGCTTGGAATTTTTCCCTCACGGACTTTGATGTTGCCTACGTTGACTGCTTTATGCACAAAAAATGGAAGGACATTTCGATCCCCACAATGAACAAATAACTGCAAAAGTTGAAGGATGGCTACATCTCTGCAAAGTTAGCAGAGATGGCTAAATTGACTGTTAGGATCAAAGAAAAATACACAGATACTTTTATTTCTACTTGGAAACCGCTTCTGGACTTTGGGTTTGAGGTGGGGGGGAAAAAAAGAAACCTTGATTTGGGGTTTTACCGATTAGATAGATTTTGTTCTTATAGAAATGGCCAGTTTATACTATTATATTACTTTATTATATGATTCTCTCTTTCACTAGTTTTATTGTGTTTTTTATACGAGGTTTTTACATTCTTGTAAGCCGCCTTGAGTGAATAGGCGGGAATATAAATTTCCTAAATAAAAAAATAGTTGTAAAAAGTTGAGGTTTGATGCTACTGTCCTATTCTACTGCACCAGAGGGAATCGGAAGTCAATGCCTTTTCTTTTTTCCCCCTTTTCTTTCCCTCCCCTTTTTTTCCCTTACTATTTGCTTTTGTATTTTATATTTATAAAACTAATAAAACGGTAAAAAGGGATCTCATTATGCTTGTGGGCAAAACCTTGGGGTGGGCCCTGATGGAAAGTACCAGGAAAAAAAAGCCCGGATCATTGGTGTCAGTGTGTGTGTGTTTGTGTGTCTTTCTGCTCCTCACAAACAAACAGGAAATCAGACATGGAGTCACCTGTGGTGAAGCGCCTGTCCTTCTTACTGTAGAAATCTCGATACGATGAGATTACAACAGGGATGAGAGGAACCTTGTAAGAAGAGAAAAGAAAGTAAACAGAGAGAGCTGTGGCAGCTGGAAATCGCCCAACTTATGTCGGCCATTTGGGCCCCTGAAACAGAGAGGGGCGGTGACTAGCAACCACCGGCCGCCATTAATGGCGGAAAACCACCTCCAAATCTCTTTGTATTTTTAATGCACACCCAGCTCTTCAAAACATTTCTAAAGACATTGTCTCTGTCTGCCTATTTTGCCAGAGTTCAAGCTTCTTATTTTATTGCTCAATTGTAAACACGTTTATAACACAGCTTATTGTGATAGAACTCAGGGTGTGATGCAACTATTTAAAAAAAAACCCACACACACAATGTAATTTCTAGAAGCTTAAGTTCCAGTAAAAAAATTTTTTAAAGGAAGGCAATGCAGACAGGGTTTTTTCCCCCCTCCATTCTGAACCTAATTTAGGGTAAAAGTTTCTTTAACGTGATACGCAGTTGTTTTTTAAACGAGCGTATCAGATCAAGCAAATCTGCTTTTGGAGTCCTTGATACGTAGCTGGTTAACAAAATGGTTGGGGAGCAAACAACTTAGCTCAGAGTTCTCACCTCTCTCACTCCCACAGATATGATCCACAAATATTCTCTCCTGTCAGTACCGCTTAGGGGCGTGAAACACTTCACAAATCTGCTTTTGTCCAGTTTATTTTAGCTTTGTTATAAACGGGAGGAATATAGGGTGCGAAAACCCTCCTTTCCTAGGTCACAGTAATGCTATTTTACTCTATGGTGTCATCTGCTACTGTCTACCACCGACTTTTATTAAATATCTACTCCCTTTTCAGCTCATCTGGGAATTCCAGCTCTAGAGGACTTAAGTTTGCATTCAGGGTAAAACTGACTTTTTTTTTTAAAAAAAAAAATGAGGATTAAAATTCTCCCCATACTAAGAATTTTTTAAAAAACCATTTCTCTGGTGGGCTTCTAATGGCAGGGACATCCTTTTTCTATAGGGCCACCCTGAATGAGGACCTGATGTCTATGGAGATTCTCAGTCATCCAAGTCAAGGTGTTTTTTTCAAGAGGAAACTGGACTGTCTGTTTTTTTTTCTTTGAAGACGTTTCGCTTCTCATCCGAGGAGCTTCTTCAGAGCTCAGACCTGAAGAAGCTCCTCGGATGTGAAGCAAAACGCCTTCAAAAAGAAAAACCGGAAAGTCCAGTTGCCTCTTGTAAAAACACCTTTGGGACTAAATGAGGACAGATTTACAGTGTCTCTCCACCCCGCCCCTTTCTCACACATACACAGAGTTGCAGCTACTAAATCCTCAGTTCTTGCTCTGAGCTTGCCAAAGTCTGACTAACCAGGATTATCAATGCAATAGTCGGGTGGGCCACAGGTTTAACCAATGGTGGGGTTCAAAAATTTTTTACTGTCGGTTCTGTGGGGGTGGCTTGGTGGGTGTGGCAGGGGAAGGATACTGTAAAATCTCCAGTCAGAGGTGGTATTTGCCGGTTCTCCAAAATACTCAAAATTTCCGCTACCGTTTCTCCAGAACTGGTCAGAACCTGCTGAATACCCACCTCTGGGTTTAACCCAGTTAACCAAATACAATGTATTCAATCAAACACAACGGCTGTGTTGACCTAATATTCAACAATCCGAAGGCTCGGTGAGATAGTCTGGTTCATACCGTGGGCTCAAGTAACCCTGAACCTCCAAACTCCCCACTCTACCTGGGTGCATCTGGCAAAGAGCCGCCAGCCGTCCCTTAGGGAGGAGGGGGGGGAGGAGGTGAGTCAAAAGAGCCCCCCCCCCTTACCTGGGTTTGCACTGCCAAATGGAAGGCGCCCCGTTTGAAGGGAAGCATGGAGCCGTTGTGATTCCTGGTACCCTCAGGAAACACCCAGACCCGAACCTGCAAAGGGAGCCCAAGAAGAAAAGAAGAATTAAGACCCTTCCATGAAGACGCGCCAAGGTTAAGCAAAGAATCCATTGAGAAATGGGTGATCAGCCCTTTGAGGCAGTCCAGATGAGAAATGCCAACCAGGACTATCAACACTACCCTTATTGTAAAGTTACGGTAACACAATCTTGCAAGCTCTTGCAAGATTGTGTTACCATATGATTCTTGACTCTTGAATGTATCTTTTCTTTTATGTATACTTGAGTATTTACACCAAGACAAATTCCTTGTGTGTCCAATCACACTTGGCCAATAAAGTATTCTATTCTGTTCTGTTCTGTTCTCTTTCCCCTTCCTTCATTTTACTTTTGCGAAAACTAGGGAGGGCCTAGCTACTCAGATATTTAGTATTTATTTGATTTGTCAATCGCTTACATAAGATAGATACTTATAAGAAAAATAAAAAACGACAGGGATGGTAGGCACGATTGGTGCGCATATGCACGCCCCCTACAGGCCTCTTAGGAATAAAAAATTGCTTATTAGAGAGTAGGTTATTTGTCTCTAATTGGAGGATAATGGATTGGTTAATAATTGATTCCATGACTTTTCAGGTGACGCAGCATAAGGAGATTGGTCTGTAATTTTCAACTAGGCTGGAGTCTCCCTTTTTGAAGATGGGGACGACCACGGCTTGTGACCATAATTTTGGCAAGGAGCTGGTCCTGAAAGATTTTTCAAAGATTATGCTTAGAGGTTCAGCTATGGCAGTGGATAGCTTTTTTAAGAAGTAGGCACATATTCCATCCGGTCCAATAGATAGAGATGGTTTTAGATTGCACAGTGCTTTTTCAACAATGTCTTCTGTAAAATCAATATGTATTAGATCATTGTAGTTGTCCGTGGTTCCACTAGGAAGCACTGGACTTGATCCATTGCTGTTTACAAATACTGAGCCAAAGAATGTGTTAAAGAGGTTTGCTTTGATGATGTCGTCGTTGCAGTCTTTGCCATTAGGTCCTTTCAGGGGTGGGATGGACCTTGAGTCTTTGTTGTTTACAAAATTGTAGAAAGCGCGGGTGGAATTTGTGTGTAGGTGGTTTTCCTCGTTTAATGTGATAATTAGTGCATTCAGTTTTTATCTGGTGGCATAGATTTTTGTATCAGCTTTTGAAGTTGGCAACGTGACCAGATTTGTTTTTTCGCCAAAGTGATCTCTTTTTGGATTGAAGCTTCCCTATTGTTATGGGTTGTCTGTTTTTCCTGGTTTTGGGAATTGTTATTGGTACATATAGTTTGATGGCTCTTTTGATTTCTAGTAAGAATATGTTGTAATGGTCTTCAACAGTATTGCATCCAGTGAATAGAAATTGCCAATCAAGGGATGAGAGACCATTGTCTATAAGATCATAGTTGCCTTTTTTGAAGTTACAATTGGGGATTTTGTCATCGTGATGATTTTTGTGTGGACATATGTTGAGACAAAAGTCAATCATGTTGTGGTCACTGTTGGAAAAGGGTTCTTTAATTTGTATTCCGTAAATTAAATTCAAACTATTGCAGAAGATGAGATCGAGGCAGTTGTTAAGCCCAGTATTGTTGGTTACTAGTTGTTCCAGTCCCAGATTTGTTAGAGCATTGTAGAAGGTTTCATGTATGGGTTCAGTTGTACATTCGTTTAGGGTCCAGTTAATATGAGGTAGATTGAAGTCACCAAGAAAGATGTGTGTGCTGCCCATGTTAGTAGTGTATTTAGCTTGTTTACATGTTCAATGTCATAATCAGGGGCTCTGTAACATAGTAAGAACCGAAATGTGATATTTAAGGTCAGTTCACAGATAATGGTCTCAGGAAGAACAAGCTCTTGGGTAACTTGGATGTTTTTTAGATGTAAGGACTTTTTATAGAAGATAGCAACACCACCTCATCTACAGATTTCACGATCGGATTGGTAAACATGAAAGTCTTTTACTGAGGTAATGGAGTCAGGGAGAGATGCGTTGAGCCATGTTTCACAGACAAATATGATGTCGAATTTAGCTGTATTTCGTAAGAGGAGAAATTCAGGTATTTTATTCACAAGGCTTCTTGCATTGAGTAGCTTGCATTTAAGGCCAGTTGTAGTTTGAATTGAGGTAGTTGGAGGGGGGCGTGCCTAGTCTTGGCTTTTTCGGCTGCTGCTGCACACTGCTTAGCAGTGCAGCTGTAACCTGAATCTAAACCAGGGATCTCCAAACTTGACAGCTTTAAGACTTGTGGACTTCAACTCCCAGAATTCCTCCTCCAGCCATGTTAGCTCAGGAATTCTGGGAGTTTGAAGTCCACAAGTCTTAAACTTGCCAAGTTTGAAGACCCTTGGTCTAAACCGTTTAATAACTCTTCAGAGCTTACAATGGCAATGAAAAAAGGTGACTTATGACTGTTTTCACACTTACGACCCCACAGTCATGTGATCAAAATTCAGAGGCTTGGCAACTGACTTCTATTTATGATGGTTCTGGTGTCCCGGGGGCATCCGATCAATTTCTGTGACCTTCTGATCAGCAAAGTCAATTTTTTTTAATTTATTTAATGTATTGGCATTTATAGAGGCCATGCAATCTCTGATGTACAAATTTAGTTTAAATAAAGCATCAGCTAATATGTAGGTTATATATGTATACAGTAAAAGATATGGAGACAATAAATAATGGAGCTAAAAGTATTAGATTAAGATAAGAACCATAATAAAATCATCATGCGGAGCTGTAAAATTTGCAAAGGGATAGAGGTTATGATTCGGTATCTAAGGAAGATATCCATCTAAACTGCTTCTGGTGTGGCTGTGGTGAGGTCATCCTCCCAGGTGCCTTGAAATTTCCTGAGGAGACACTCCTGAAACGATACGTGTTCTGGTTTGTTCTGGTGCGCCCCAGTTGCACTGCGGGCTCTCAGACAATGGGGAAGCCATATTCCCTTACGTAACAGCCGTGTTACTAACTTGGCAACTGCAGTGATTCACGTAACAATTGTGGCAAGAGAAGTTGTAAAAACGGGGCAAAACTCACTTAAGGACCGCCACGCTTAAGCAACAGGGGCTCGATGGTAGTCATTAAGTCAATGACTACCCAGTATGATGCTCCGCAGAAGAGTAGGCTGAAGGGAGACGTCAGTTATTTGAAGAGGTCAAACGGAGGACCGAACGGACAAAGCGTTGAAAAATCCTGAGGAACGCATTTCAGTTTTAACTTTTTGGGAGGAATTTCCAAGGGAGCCAGAATTGTCAAGAGACAGAACTGATCACTCGTGATGGGGCGGTAGGGCCACCTGTTCACTGGTCTGGACGGCAATTGTCCAAAGCATTTTGAGCAGATCCTGAAACGGGACTGGCCTAGGTGATTTCTGAGGCCCTGTCCAATTTTGGTTCTATGAATTATGCAACAAAAATTCGGCCACGAGTGAACAGGCAGTACAGAAATACAACCCAGTTTCCCAAAATAACAAAACCTTCCCATCAGAAGCTGCTGCCGCATGGCAATAACCCAATGACAGAAATGGAGACATTTGTAGATGCCGGCTTGGGAGTTTCCAGGTAGTCGACTTATGACCACAATGGAGTCCAAACTTTCTGTGGCTAAGCGAGACAGCTAAGTGAGTTTTGCCCCATCTTATGATGTTTCTTCTTGCCACAGTCATTAAATGAATCACTGAAGCTGTTCAGTTAGTAACGCGGGGTCGTTCAGCGAATCTGCCTTGCCCCATTGACTATGCCTGTCAGAAAGTCGCAAAAGGGGAGGACAGGACATGGCAGACCGTCATAAGTATGAGTCAGTTGCCGCACGTTCGAATTTCAACCACATGAACAGAGGGATTCACTGAGGGTCGTAAGTGTGACAAAAAATGGTCGTAGGTCACTTTTTTTTCAGGGCCGTTGTAACTTCAAACGGTCGCGAAGTGGAATTGTTGTAAGTTGAGGACTATCTGCATTCAGCCTAAAACTGAGTGGATCTGCCAGGCAAAACAGTTCAGAGAGATGTAATCCAGTGTTTTTCAACCCTGGCCACTTCAAGATGTGTGACCTTCAACTCCCAGAATTCCTCAGCCAGCATGGGGAACTACATCTGGCCTTTCCTCCAAGGATTCAAGCCAGGTTACATGCCAAATTTACTTTAACCATATGACGGCACCCCTATGGGGCAGGCAGGAAAGAGAAGGGCTTATGTGACTGACGGGGGAGACTAGAAGCTGGTCTGAGTCTCATCCAGCACTTCACACTTTGGCTGTGGGGCTGAGAGGGAGGGACTGGCCTAAAATCCACCAGTTGTGGCCAGGGGATAGGGGAGGGCAGTGGGGTGGGTCAGAAGGTGGACGTTCTTGACATCATTTCAACATATTCACTACAGGTGCTCCTCAACATACGACCACAATTAAGTCCAAAACTTCCATTGCTAAGTGAGACGAAGAGACAGCTGCTGTGGCCCGTCAGTGGCCCGCCAGACTTGGACAGTGAGGAGGTTGGGGAGGAACTTGGACCAGTCCTGGGGTCTGGGGAAAGCTCTGATGGCTGCTCTGCGTCGGAGGCAGAGAGGGAGCCAGGGCCGTCCGACATTTATCAGCTGCCTTTGGAGTTGGAGATAAGTGGGGAAGAAGAACAGCTGGAGCCTGTTCCAGATGCGGGCATGTGCAGAGCTGTCAGGAGAAGGGAACAACTAAGGAACAGGGGTCGACTCGAAAGAAAAGGTACAAGTGGACGCTGAATGATCCCTCCCGTAGGAGCAAAAGGGGACGGGTGTTTGCAGGAGACAATTAGTTCGCTTACTATTGTAAAGATTTGCTTATCTGAGTTCGTGTCTCAACAGAGACTTCCTTGCCAAGTATTTCCTTTTACAGCCTCGCGACTGGAAGCTCTCGGCCTGGCAACTATCCAAGACTGATAAGGCCTGCTCTTGCACTTAAACCTGGCAAGGGTTATTGCCGGGACTTTTTTGGATGTGTGAATGCCAGGAATTCACATTAACCAAATAAAAAAGGACTTTTTTTTTTCGGGACAAGGGAGTCCGTTTCGTGATTCTGTTCAGCCTGGGTCAGAAAACAGTTTGTTCCATTTTACGGGCTTGCTCCAGTTAAATGAATCACTGCAGTTGTTAAGCTGATACCACCGTTGTTAAGTGGATCTGGCTTCCCCGTTGACTTTGCTTATCGGAAGGTCACAAAAGGGGATCACCACAACCCTGGGACACTGTAGCTGTCATAAATATGAACCCACTGCCAAGTGTCCACATGTTGTCATGTGACCGTGGGAATGCTGCAGTGGTCGCAAGTGTGAAAAACGTCCATAAATCACCGTTTTTTCCCTCCCCAGCGCCATTGTTAACTTTGAACAGTGACCGAACCAATGGTTGTAAGTTGAAGACGACCTGTGCACAAAACACACCAGTAATTCACATTCTCAATAGGGAGGAAAAGCCCGTCGACCCTTCTAAGAATTTGGCAAAGTGTCTCAAATTCAGAACCAGAATAGAGCTGGAAGGGACCTTGAGAGGTCTTCTAGTCCAGGGGACCCTGTACCATTTTGGGCAAGTGGCGGTCCAGTCCCTTCTTAAAAACCTCCCGTGATGAAGCAGCCACAACGTCTGAAGGCAAAGATCTTCCACGGGTTAATTGTCCTCGATGTTAGGAAGTTTCTCCTTAATCCCTTCTTTCTCCTTGATCAGTTTCCATCCATGGTTTCTTGTCCTGCCCCTCTGGTGCTTTTACCCACTTCCTACAACCGTTGTTTTAATCTCCAGGCCTTTTAATCATCTTAGTTGCTCTTCTTTGCTACTTTTTTCCAGTCCCTCGTTCCCCATTCCGCCAATCTCCCAATCCCCTTTTCCCATGTTCAATGTCATCTGCATATGACAGTGGTGGCTAACATTTGGGGGGCAATAATGGCATGCGCGCTTGCCTGCTCATGCTTGCGTGCCATCACCCGGAAGGCAACGCGTGCGCGCCCCCCCCCATGCCTCCTGCGCATGCACACAACCTGCACAACCCATGCTGCGTGCTTCTGCGCATGCACAGCTGTTAGGCACACGCGTCGCACGTATGCACAATAGACCTTTTCTGGGCAAGTACCTGCATGCCGGTAGTAATGGCTCTGCGTGCCACTTCCGGCATGCATGCCGTAGGTTCGCCTTCATGGCTATATGGCATCACCCTAGCCGAGACGCAACTCCATCCCACCAGCCTCCTTCCTCCAATTTTCATCACAGTTCTGCAACCCCCATTCAAAAACAAAAAAACCACACAAAAACACAACCGCCCTCACATCTTGGCTCAGCATAGTTTGGGCGGCCTCAGACATGACGCTGATGGCATCGTTGGTTTTCTTGCGGTTGATAAAAATGATGCCTCCCAGCCAGCAGGCCAACCCCACCGTGCCCATGTACATCAGCTCCTTTTTGGCAATTGGCACACACCGGTCTGGCAACACCTCCATTAAACCTGTGGAGGGGAAAGAAGAAAAAAAAAAGGATTAGCTATGCTGCGCTAGAAGTCATAGACCGGGGTAGGCAAAATGGCCGCTTTACGACCTGTGGACTTCAACTCCCAGAATTCCTGAGCCAGCACGTTCATAAAGGGGCCATAGTTGTTCGTCCCTGAACCAGACGGCCATGGCTTCAAGTGAAGGAACCACAGAGAGAGACAGAATACAGGTAGTCCTCGACTTACCAGAGTTTGTTTAGTGACCATTCAAAGTCACAGCGGCCCTGAAAAAATGTGACTGATGACTGTTTTTCATAGTTACGACCTTTTTAGCATCCATTTTAGTGGTCAGGGGATCAAAATTCGGACGCTTGGAAACTGGTTCATACTTATGACAGGGTTGCACCCGGCCTGGGGTCAGGGGATCGCCTTGGGCGACCTTCTGATGAACAGAGTCGATGGGGAAGCCAGATTCACTTAACCACTGGGTAACTCATGTATTCAACTGCAGTGATTCGCTTAACAACTGCGGCGAGACACGTCGTGAAAGGGGGCAAAACTCCCTTAACAAACAGCAATATAAATTGTGGGCTCCATTGTGGTCGTACGTCGAGGACTACCCGTGTATCTTTTTTTTTTTAATTACCTAGATTAATTTCAATTCAATTCTCAACTTCTCAAGAAGTGGAGGCTGTTAGGAATGTAAGTCACCTAACAGCTATTTGGGTTGGACAATATATAAACCAGGATAGACATTTTAATACTGTCTCTTTAAGAGAATCCTAAAAGTGTAATTGGGTGTGGTTTCTCAAATGGCCATAAGATGGAGCCAGAAACCTGGGTTGTTTAGTCTTAGTCTCAGAAGAGAGTGTGAGTGAGTCTGTTTCCTTCTGTTGGAGAGTATTGCCGTTCCTCCATTTTTCCTAATTGACTGCTATTTCTGGATTTAATGTAAGTCTGATACTGAACTGTTTTTGACACTGGACTTTGATATTTGGATTATCCCTGGATAGAAAAACTGACTGATTTACCTATGAATGACTTTGGACTGCCTATTTTGAACTTTGCTTACACGTTTCTGGAAGTAAAAAACCTATATTTACTGTACAGTGTATCTGTGTGCTGTGTGTGTATTATTCAAACACTTCTCTCAAATACGTCTCCCTGTATGCGCTCATTCTCCTAACGGGGAATTACCTCAACAGAGGCAAACCAACTTTTCATTAACTAATGCTTATTAGAGGAGTTGTAAGCAAAAGAGACAGTATGAAAAATGCCAGACTATCTATCTATCTATCTATCTATCTATCTATCTATCTATCTATCTATCTATCTATCTATCTATCTATCTATCATCTATCTATCATCTGTCTATCTTCTATCTATCATCTGTCTATTGATCTGTCTATCTGTCTGTCTGTCTATCTATCTATCTATCTATCTATCTATCTATCTATCTATCTATCTATCTATC